TTTAAACAAACTGGTTCCTGGATCCCATATAATGGCAGATAGGGGTTTCAGAATATTTAGCTACTTGAAAACATGGGATGCACTTTAGTAAAGCCACACCTAGTGTATCACAGAATGAAAAAAGTTCTCCAGAAGATGTACAATTAAGTAAAAGAATAGCATCTCTAAGAATACATGTGGAAAGAGTTATAAGAAGGGTTAGTTAATTTAACAAGTTAAAACCACATTCGTGTGTGAATTTTAAGCAAGTACATTTACTTAGTAATATCTGCATAATTGCTTGTTAACTTACAAGAACCTATTTTGTAAGAGTAAATATTAATTTAATAAATTTTTTTTGTTTGTTTTTTTAATTTAATTTACCTAATTATCACTTTTCAGGGATTATAATGAGTTTTTAACAGCCAATGTAATTTTTTATAAAATTTTAACTTTTCGAACAAATCAAAGAGGAATGAGTACTTGTATATGCATAGATTTTTTTGGGACTAAAACTACCAAAACAAAGGCACCTATTTACAGCAGTTTAAAATGAAACATTTTGACAAAAACGCTTATGTCACAGTGATAAATATTAAAAACAACCAAGTTCAGTTGAATGTGGTAGCAAAGTCTATATACCTATTCCAATAAATCGGGTAACTACATGTGGTATCACTGGTGATAAATTTAAAAATATCACAATTCTTGCTACCTTTTTCAAAAAACCAGAAAGTGTGCCTTCTTATCAATCCTTTATGAAAATGACAACAGTGATAAATGTAAAAAAAAATTTAATGTTGCTATTCGTTATTACGATAGTAAAACATGTTTGCAGTTCCGTTTATTTTTTATGAAAATCTAAGTAAAAACCAATGTCAAAGGGTTATAATTTTTTTTTTGTTGAACCAAATATATCACAAAATTTAAAAATTGATCATAGGTCAAGCAAGTAATACCTTTATTGATAGTAGCTTTAAAAAAGGAGAAAGAATAATATTGACTTAAATTATTATTATTATTAACATTGGTGATTTTTAATAAAAACTCTTCAATTATTGTTTACAAACAAAAATATAAAAATCTGTGAAAATTTTATTTATTAATCTTTTAATAAAAAATGAGAAAAATGAAGTAAAAAACAATTTATTTACAAATAAAAAATATATATACAAATCCTAAGAATATAAAAGTACTGATTTATTTTCCTGTAGTGGATGAAGAGGTTTCTTTAACAATCTAGCCAAGTGTACATCAATATTTACGCATTTTGATAAATTAGAGCCTTTCCAATAACACTGAATAGATGTTACAAATAGTTCATCACTTCTTCTATGAAGCCACATATTTACAATCAACTGAAAAAATAAAAGGGTTAGATATGCAGTTACAAAATAACTATATAACCAGCTACAAAATGCCTTTATTTTATGTAACAAGACGAGCAGAGCTTTACTAGCTCTGAACGAATCCAGTAAAGAACCTCGGATTTTCAAAACTTAAAAAAAAAACAATCTCACCACATTTTCACATTTTTGAAATATTAGAGCTTTTCGAAAAAAACTGCTATTTTTAAAAATACAATTTGTTTAAACAGCTATGTCTCATTTTAGGCTATTGAGTATTATAAAATAAAAAATTACGGGATGCTTTGTTAGCTTCAAACGAATCCAGCAGAGCACCCCAGTTTTTTTTTAAACCACACCACGTTTTTTGGCTCCTACAATATTATAAAATATTCGAAATTTGGCATTTTAAAAAAAATTCGCAATTCCTTGCTGACTTGAAGTGTCCTGCTGACTTTGTTCCAACAAAGCACCCTGTATTATTTAAAAATAGCAATTTTTTTAGTAAAGTTTTACAATATTTCAAGAGTCTAAAAATATTCTAAAAATGGGGTGTGGTTTTTAGAAAAAAGCTTTAAAAAACCGAATTGCTCTGCTGGCTTCTTTCGAAGGTTAGCAAGCACCATGTATTTTTAAAAATATAATATTTCAAGTGCATAAATATATGGTGTTGCTGTTTTTACAGAAAAAACTTTATAAAATAGAGGTGCTTTGCTGACTTTGTTCGAAGCTATAGAGCATTTTAAGTTTTGCAAAAAACGAGGAGCATAAAATTTTTGAAAAGGGTATAAAAATAGCCTAAAAATATGGCATATTTTTTAACTCAAAATTTCATAGGTGCTCTGCAGCATTCTTTGGTATCATAATTATTACTAGGTTCACTAACAAAATCTGTTTCTAGATTATTTTAACACTTGCTGCGATTACAAAAAATGTCTGTAGGTCAAAATTAGAAAAAAAATATTTATAGGAATAAAGGGCGGTTCTGGTAAAGGATCCTGAGGTGCGAATTTCATAATTTTAGCATTAATATATTGAAGTAACTTACTTTTTATAATATTTTAACTGAAATTAAATATGGAATAATACGTTTCATTTGCTATTTTTATTTATATTATAATAAAATGCAATATTTTGACTGATTTAACCTAACTTTTCATCATTTCCTTCCATAAAACCTAAAATAAAGTGATTCATGTGTCAGTTCTTGACACATAAGGTCCTCGAGTTTGCAACGTTGCCATACTATATTGTTGATTTTTATCACTGATAATTTCCAAGTTTAAGATTTCTGTTTGAATGAGAAGAAAATAATTTATAGGTGAAAATATAATGTGTTATGTGAGACTTTTCATTTCAATTTGAGCTGTGTCCAGGCCGTTGGAGTCTATGCCGGTAGGCGTAGCCAGGCATGGATTAAAATTTTTTGGTGGCGGCGCAGCCGCCACCCTACGAGAAGTCGTTTTTTTCCGTTTTAAGTGACAGAAAATTTAAAAAAAGTTGTCTAGGTATTACATGTTAAGTGATTTAATTAATTTAATTTTGTATGTAGTTTTTTTGAGCTGCATTTTTAAAATTAATTTGGTTGATATATTAATTTTTTCATTTTATATACGATTATTACCGTACTTATCTTTTTGAACCAAACGAAAAATGTATGATTTTTGATTATAATGTGTTATGTGAGACTTTTCATTTCAATTTGAGCTGTGTCCAGGCCGTTGGAGTCTATGCCGGTAGGCGTAGCCAGGCATGGATTAAAATTTTTTGGTGGCGGCGCAGCCGCCACCCTACGAGAAGTCGTTTTTCCGTTTTGAGGGACAGAAAATTTAAAAAAAGTTGTCTAGGTATTACATGTTAAGTGATTTAATTAATTTAATTTTGTATGTAGTTTTTTTGAGCTGCATTTTTAAAATTAATTTGGTTGATATATTAATTTTTTCATTTTATATACGATTATTACCGTACTTATCTTTTTGAACCAAACGAAAAATGTATGATTTTTGATTATAATGTGTTATGTGAGACTTTTCATTTCAATTTGAGCTGTGTCCAGGCCGTTGGAATCTATGCCGGTAGGCGTAGCCAGGTATGGATTAAAATTTTTTGGTGGCGGCGAAGCCGCCACGCTAGCGGAAGTCGTTGTTTCGTTTTGAGTGAAAGAAAATTTAAAAAAAAGTTGTCTATGTATTACATGTTGAGTGATTTAATTAAATTCACTTTTTAATTTTGTATGTAGTTTTTTTGAGCTGCATTTTTAAAATTAATTTGGTTGATATATTAATTTTTGCATTTTATTTACGATTATTACCGTACTTATCTTTTTAAACCAAACGAAAAATTTATGATTATAAATTTAAATAATCCTTAAACTTATAATTTTATTAACAACTTGGCAACGTTTGTTATTTTTAAGACAGAAACGACAGAAACTGTCATTTAGAGTAATTGTTTTGTGATTATAACCTGTAAAATTGGGATTTTTAATTCAATTTTTTTCGAAAAATACTGCTTCATCCATAAATTTTTTTTCAAAAATTTACTATAGAAACTAGTTACTTTTGAGTGTTAAATTTTTTTTTGTGAATTTCGCACCTCAGGATCCTTTACCGGACCCTAAAGGGCCTTATAAACTGTTTATTATATGTAATATAAAAACAAAAAAGCATAATAAATATTACAAACCTTGACATGCAGCATATCCTTAGCATATTGTGCACTAAAAATTTCATTTTTGTTAATTACAATGCAACCACATCAGAAGGTTTTTGCCGTACTTTATGTTTAGGTGTAATTTGTCTCCTCTCTTATGGAAAAAGAAATTATCCCCATATACTTGCTTGGCAGATCTAAAAATAAAACCTGAGATAAATATGTTTTACTTGCTCCATATAAACTGTAACTACCTACTATTAAAACAAAGTCTTACCCGTCTTACCTTTGTGACTAACAAAGTCTTACCTTTGTGACTTTTGTAAACTGAGTATTGTTAAAAAATGCAGTAATCATCTCGGTAATCATATTTTCGTTTACAATGGGTAAAACACTTGATTCAACTTTTATAAATCCAGCTGATTCATATTAATAATAAAATTAAACCAAAACAAAAAACTAAGGTTAGAGGTGTCAATTTTAATGTCACTTAGATGTGCGTTAACTTCGACATTCTGTGTGTTGGTTTGTTCGTTGGCTTGGTTTTGTATAACAAAAAAAACTTCGACACAAGATGATTGGTCTATTCCCGATGACGTATAATTTCAAATTTTAAATTTCAATTGGGCTTAATTTAAAAACTTTTAGCTTTTTTAACGAACTGACTATTTAGAATAACTTGTATAGCGACTAACTATTACAATATAATTTATAAAACAGCATATCTCACATGTGAACATGGCCCATATTATATTTTATTTAAAGAAAAAATACATTTTATTAAAGAATTTTTAATATTTACAAAAAAATATGATAGAAATGATTCTGTAGTCTACAAAAGTCTGTGGTGCAAAATAGTTCGCCGATTTGGATTGTTTTTTATTCCATTGTGGTAAACCAATTAACGTTCACGGTTTTTTCAATGCTTTAAAACCAGGATTTGCTAACTATCTAGTTAAACTCAAATCATTAATTAAAGGATTTTGTAGTTATATTATCTCTTGACGCTATTGATTTTTTCAGTACCCTGTCATCACGGCGATGGGAATTTTAAAAAAAGCAGCGGCACTGGTCAATAAGGAATTTGGTTTGGATGCGAAAGTAGCAGATGCCATATCCAAGGCATGCGACGAAGTTATATCTGGAAAACTATACTGCGACCATTTTCCACTCGTAATCTGGCAAACAGGATCTGGAACCCAAACTAACATGAACAGCAACGAAGTTATTAGTAATAGAGCCATTGGTATGTACGTTTAACAGTTTTTTGACATGTTATCATGACTTTACTTGATGTTAAATTATTCTGACACTATCCTTGAAATTATTTATTTTATTTAATTATTGGTAAACCTTACAACACCTTTAATAGGTAATTAAGAAAAATGAAGATTGTATCAAATTGACAGCTATGTTACATTTTTGACTGACCAACAATCCATTAATTTTTAACAAAGTTGCCGATCCGGTATAGAGTTGCAAAATTGGCTGATTTCGATTCATTCGATATTTTATCATACCACGAAGTTTAGAAAACATAGAATTAATGTTAAATTTTTCACCTGCTTACTGGTGTACGTAAAGTTTTCGATTAAAACCCAGACAACACACCAAATCCCAGAGATATACACAGAGTATCTTTTGTGAATATCCAATATATCCACAGGATATCAGAAATATTCCGTGGATCTAATATGGATATCCAAATGTCCGTCTATATCCAGAATATAGAAGATATCCATGGATATATTCAACAAAATATCTAATGAGTATCTTCCAGACAATACAAGAAATCCCAGAGATATCCACAGAATATATTTTGTGGATATCCAACCAAATGTCCGTCTTTATCCCAGGATATAGAATTCAGATATTCAGCAAAATACTTTATAGGTATCTTTAGTAGAGGTTCATAAGTAACCAATGATTATTGAACAACGTCGAAAGAAAATAGAGATAAAAAATATTTCCAACAATCTGCCTTTGATTTTGCCCACTAAGTAGAAAGTCATCCTTATTAGGAATCTTCAGCAATAAATGGAAATTCTCGACTCCAGCCTCTAATGGAGTCTGCTTATCAAAAAAATTTCGATCGAACTCAATTACGGCGGGTTGAGCATGAGTAGATACGAAAGTGGTATCGCCATCTATACTTAGGAAGCGAAATCAAAAATTACATCTTGTGGATATCCTCGGTGGTTTGCGTCTGCGCTTAGACTTTGATATATTTAGTGGATGTCCATGGGATATTGAATACACCTTAAAAAAATAATTTTAAATATCTGAACGGTACTATTAGCCACAATGGCGTAATTTTTTAATAATTTGCTATATAATTACTATTATTTATGGACATTTGCATGTCTATAAATTACATTTCATGGATATAAAATAGATATCCACCATGGACTGGACATTCAGTGGATATTGGAATGTTCAGTAGATATCCAAAGGATTTGGTGTGCTGTCTGGGAAGTATTTTAGAATATAAGTTTTTCACCAACCGAGATACACTGTTCATTGTCCCCCTATATTCTGATCAATTACCCAAAATTTCAAGTTTCTATCTTCAAAAACACCAGAAATAATTTAATAGTTTTCGTGTAGACACCATAAATATATATTTGTTGAACTTTTCTTTCTTTTAGAAATTTTAGGCGGAAAATTAGGATCAAAAACCCCTGTCCATCCCAACGACCACGTAAATAAAAGCCAGAGCAGCAACGATACTTTTCCAGCTGCCATGCATATCGCTACAGCAATGGAAATTGAACACACGCTAATGCCCGGTTTAAAAATGTTGGCTGAAGGATTAAAGAAAAAATCCGACGAATTTAAAGACATTATCAAAATAGGAAGGACGCACACGCAAGACGCCGTACCTTTAACTTTAGGACAAGAATTTAGTGGTTACGAAACACAGATTAGGTTTGGAATTGAAAGAATTAAGGATACCTTACCCAGGTTAGTACTTGCAATTGACAGATAAAAAGATGATCGTATCGAGGCTTATTTCAATCACCCTTTTTGGCGTAAAATGTAATTACCTGTAGTGTGACACACCTTGTAGAACTTTGGCCGACTGGTTGTTGATGCTTCTTCTGCTTGTTGATTATTCGCAGATTGTAGTTTTAAATAACACTTTACTTTATCACAAGGTAAATTGGCTGAACAATATTTTTAATTTACTGTTAACAAATAAAACGTCTTTGGTATGATTGGTCGACATTATTTTTTATTAAATCGGTAGTACATATGTTTCGGAATACAATTTCATCTTTTAGTGCAGTCACAATTCATTATTAATTTACGTCTTTTAATACTGGTTAACCTTAGAAAGTATTGTGAATATTGTATTTAAAATCCACCTAAAGTGATCTCTTGGCTCACCCTTTGAAGATTCAAGGTGTATGCTTTAAGATTCAGTTAAGGAATGAAAGTTTAATCTTTAAAAATAAAACAAGTGAGTAATGAGTAGCACTAGGACACGCCCTCCTACTTCATCATAAAGGTTTGAGTTTCTGGAATATTTAGAACTTGTTATCCTGTTTACGCGCATCGATTAAGCCAATATGATTTTTTAGCAATGTGCGTCCCAAATTTTGATATGAGAAGGTACCAACGGCGAAAAACTATTAGACTAATCAATTCATTCATACTTAACACAGTTGTCACACTGTGTACTTTCCTGTAAATCACCTTCAGGTAAAATAATAGATGCAACCAGAAAGACATTAAACAGATAACTAGCACTAAGAATGAAAATATACATCCCTAAAGTAATTTTTAAAGCCTTTTTTGGCAACTACCTGGATAACACCAGTTTTTGTAAACAAATTTAGTCTCGTAGTCGTTGGAAGGTTTATTCATGAGAGAGATGGATTCAAATATTAGGCATTCCAACGACTTGTCAAAATGGGTTATGATATGGCAACGCTGTAACTTTGACAGGGTCGATTAAGAATGGGACATAAAACAACTGAATATTCTCTGATTAAAAAAACATGCTTAGGTAAAAAGTTACTCGTTTCCGAAATACAGCTTGTTAAAGTTGAAAATTTAAAAATTATTAATGGCTATAATATAAAAACTGAAATTACAATATAAAGCGTGATTTTTTTACTATTGGGACATAGGCTAAGGGCAGGTTATTTGGACCAAAATATGGCGATAGGGCCAAATATATCTTCATAAAATATTGCTGTGAATTAAGATACAGGGTGTTAATTAATAATAATAATAATAGACTATCATCTCACAGCAAAAATAATTCACGACAAGAAATGACACATGTACCAGACATAATTATCTGACACTGCAAAGCACACTTTTCATAAATGAAATATTTTTTTATCCCCATCTGACTCATTTTTCTCGAAAACGGGTGAAATTATCGTGTTTAAACAGGAGAACTAATATTACGTAGAAATGATGTTCACATCATATTTTTAATCAAAAACTCGAAAAAGTTTCGTCAAAAAAAAGCTACCACTTAATTTCATCATCAGGAATCATTCACGTGGCGCCAAAATGTAAAATAATACGCCTCTGTGCCGATTTTGACAACAATTCATAAATATACAGTGACATTATCAGAAAAAAAAAACGAAAAAAAAATCAACTTTAACGCCCTGTATCTTATTCCACAGCAATATTTTATTAAGGTATATTTGGTGTCCTATCGCCATATTTTGGTCCAAATAACCTGCTCTTAGCCTATGTCCCAATAGTTATGAATCACTCTGTAGGACTTCAATAGATCCGTAAATAATAGTATAAATGTCCCTCTACACTGGATTATAACTCCCACCAGAATATATCTAGCGACAACTGTTTAAACTTCAAGTGTTTCAAAGCAAAAAATTATGCAGATAATTAATTAAAAATTGTTTTTTTTTATTTGCTTCCGTTTTATTTATTTCAATAATATAGTTATTTTAATAACATGGATTTTGTAGCTGGAGGTATGAGGAGCAAGGTTTTAAAAAATTTGTATTAACATTTATAACTACTTGTTAAATATGAACTAAGTTTAACAAACTAGCTGTCACATTTTCTGGTTTCCTACATTTATTTATTTTATGTTTTATTTGTTTATTTAGACCAATTGTGATGAAATTACTAATTTTTTTAATAATTTAGTTATAAAATGTTTAGTTTAAATAAATTTACGCCTCATAATGTTCTGAAGAACCCTTGTATTTTTGTTTCCTAGGAAAATTTCCATTTTGAGCATTTGCGAGCGTCCACGTATTTAATTATTTACTGAAATTCGAAAAAAAAAATAATTACCTACAGACATAAGCTTATGTTCATTTTGAAAAACATGAATAATCAATCTATATAACTATATCATTAACCCTGTCAAATCACCAGGCCCATAGAGTTGTCATATCATAACCCACGGGCAACCATTTTGTTTGAAATGCCTAATGAGCGATATCTTGATTTTCAAGTACCAGTGATGCTTGTTCCTGTGACATTTAAATATCAGACATTTAAATATCAGTGATTTTAAGCCGCGATGTAGTGACAAAAGTGACAGCAAATTAGCAAAAGTTTTCTACTACATACAAATGAAATAAAGGTACAAGTACTAATATTCTATTAAATCTAAACATCCTTCTTCCTAGTCTATTTTGTCGAAACAACTACTGGTTCAAAACAAAAAGAAATTATTAACAAGTTATAAAATTTATTGAAATATAAAAAATAGGCATTCCAACGACCTGTCAAAATGCTGACAAATGGGACCTGACAGTTTAGATATGGCAACCCTGTGGGCCTATTGTCATTGACAGGATCAATGATACATATATAATTATATAGGGTAAGTTTGGTTTGGAACTCGACGGATCGGACAGAGCGCGCACGGAGTGCGTGACGTCATCGACAGAATTCGCTCTTTTTACAATCTCAAGACGAACACAACGGGAATGACAAATGACACTACCCAGCTAGCACAAAAACATCCCATCTACGTTAATAAGCTGCAATTTTAGGCTCTTTAAGCTCGCATGCAATGTACTGTTAATGTAACCCTATCATCCCTGCAACCACCGAATGTCCGCAACGGCAAGACTTTTATAGCACATCTCACAGAAGTTAAAAAGTGAAGTTCGGAAAACATCACACTAGCACTTTTACGGTACTTACCCTGAAAGTTGCTCTGAAACTTTCTATAGATGTTATAATGTGAATTCATTCTACAGCATTATACAGTGTGTCCACGGATGGACTTAACAATACTTGTACAAATATTTATTTTAAATTTAAAAGTACTTCTTCATAATTTCTTTTGCTTGTTAAATAAATACGATTAACGTTGAGAAATTATGAAAAAGACCTTTTGAAAAATTTAAAATAAATATCTTTACAAGTATAGTTATGACCATCCTTGGATACACTATATTCAAAATAGTATATTGAGGATATAGTAAAATCTGAAGAAAACAAAATAAAAAATTGTATAAATTTATTATTAAAAAGCTTTTGAAATCAAGAACCAATATCATACAAGTAGAGGTAGGTATTAATAATATAGGTAAAAAAAAACACTGACAAATTGGACAAAAGTTGGTATAAAGGGTATATAAGGAATATCTCATAAAGGGTATATAAGGAATATCTCAAAGGTTCACTAGAATCGAAAACACTGAACGCTTGCACGAAAGAGTATAAGGTACCTATATTGCAAAGGTTCACTGGTAGCTAAAATGGTGCACGATTGTACAAAAGTAGTAAAAAGTGTATTTATATAAGGTATATTTCAAAAGTCACTAGATTTTTATTAAGATGGCAGTTGTAGGATGCTAAAAAAAGATATTTGCCTACAACTGGTACTAATCATAGTTTTAATATGATATAAACTGAATATTGATAAATGTAAAGTCATAAGGTTTAATAAAACAGCTAATATCATTATGCATGATTGTCATTGCAGGTTCTGAACTAAGTTTTGAGCAAACTATAAATGATATTAATGTTATTTTTGAGAGGGACCTTATAAGAGTTTGGAATGCAGATGTCGAGAAGCATCATTTGTTTTCCTGTATAAGTTATTGAACGGTTTGATTGATAGTGACAGCCTGGTACACTTTATTAGATTCCTTGTTCCTGCCAGACTTACTAGGCATATGAAACTATTTTATGTAAATGCTCATATAACTAACTATGGACAGAATTTATTTGTAGACCAACTGATGTCCAATTACAATAAGTATTTTTCAAATTATGACATTTTAAAAGGTTTATTTTTTAAAGTGTCAACTTTTATTACACTATTGACTTCATTTTTATACTGTGACAATTTTATTAATTTCTTTTTTATTTTATTTTGATATTTTAACCATTTAGAACTTTATATATTAGTAGCGTACTGTAAACAAATAAATATGTGAACTTAATTACATAGTTTCTTCCATAAAAATAACTTTGTAGATAATAAATTTACTTGTTTAATTATTATTAAGAAAATAATATATATATATAAAGAAAATAAAAAATATGCTCGTTTAAATCGTTGCACCTATTTTTAGTTGATTTTTACTTACTTTGTTTTTTTAAATAAATAATAACATTTATTTTGACTTTTACAAATTTTATACTTAATAATGGATGTTCAACTTATACAGAACAATGTTTTTTAGCATAATATTCTGCTATGAAAGAAAAAGAAATAATCTCAGATGTTATATATTCTTCTTCAACCAATTCTGTATTAACTTTAGCTTCTAAAATTCCTGAGATTTTTACTAGAATTATAATCCAGCACAAAGGAAACCTAAAACACAATATTTTTAAAATTTATTTTTAGTGATTAAAATATTACACTAGGGCGACCATACTTACAGCAATTTTTCTGTATTGTAAAGCATTTTTAAAGTTTGTCCAGCAATTCGTATTGTGCAGCAAACGTACAGCAAAATGGCGTAGGTATATATATCCAGTGAAATGCTGTATTTATCCACCAAAACGTCACTACTGTCCAGCAATGGTAATACTTAATTTACTGAAATGTAACAAATTTAAATGTTATTTATCTTTAGTGAACTACATGAGCACTTCTATACTGCTGTTCTAGCAAGAAAGGTTTTATCTGCAAAATTAGCAGTTTTTTTATGTGCATTTGTCTACATTTTATCTTTCTCGATACTGAAAAGGAATGTCTTATTTGTAACAAAGGTACTAAAATGTTAAAAAGTTACACAAAAAAGGTTTAAAAGATAATAAATATAAATTTTCAGATAGGACTTCTCTTGTTAGGATGGCAGTATATGACTTCTCTGTTTTTGTATTTTTATAATTGGGAGTAGGGTTGAGTATCGGTCAAAGGTATCAATACCGGTATCATGTGAGATACTTTGTGGTAGAGGCATCGATACTGTTCGATATTATGTTAAAGATATTGATATTTATAAGTCTCGAGTAACAAAGTATCGAAAAAGTAAAAGATTTTTGTTAAACGGCTGGCAACCCCCATTCAACAGGACGGAGTAGGGAACTTAACTAATAACAAGAGTGCATCAGTAAAGTATATTCTGTAGTCGACACCTTTTCTTTCTCTACTGGTACTCTACCTGGTACAAGTTATAGTGTCAATAACTGGCAATTTACCTTATATTTAAATAACAAAAAAACAGTGGTAACGCTTAATCATATTACCAAGTTTCACCACATGCAAAAACTAAAATATTTCAGTACAAATATTTGAACAAACCTTATAATCTCTGACCACACACATAGCGATACAATACTTGCTTCTAAGTATCACTATGGCGATAGTATTGGTAATTCAGTGCCTAAATATCGATACTTTCATTGTTTAATATCGTTACTTCTATAGTATTAAGGCATCAATAAGATCCCTATTATCGTGTAAAATAAATATTTCATCATTTAATTGTATCTACTTGTTTACAATGATTTATTTTTTATTGTATTTGGAAATTGAAATTTTACCATCTAAAACAACAGACAATAAATTAGAAAATTAGAAAATTTATTGAAAAGAAGAAAACAACTTACCAAACTTATTCAAACGTATAGTTTCCAATTTCTTTAAAATCTGAAATACGTACAAGAAAAAGTGACAAGTGACATTTTTTTATGTTTTGTTGGTTATGACAAACGAATGGCTACGTTCGAAAGTCCACAGTACTTCTCGTGGAAACTTTTTTAGCAAGTTACTTAATTACGTTGTGTTATCATAACAGGCAGTTTAAATACGTAAGTAACAAATAGATGTTTCGCGAGGTTTTGATTTCCCTCAACAACTTCTCATTAACGTTGCAATTACGTTGTATGGGTATGTTATTATGTTCCCTTAAAACAACATCGCCGAAAGGCTTGGTAACGTTATGTGCTAGCTGGGTAGTGATAGTTTGCACTTGAATACACTTTTTTGTGTGTGAATGGACTGTAAAAAATTAATTTTAGTCAAATAGGAAATAGTTATAACAAAAACAAACAAGAAATAATACGTGTAAACTGATTAATCATAGATTAGAATATTGACGTTTGACATTTTTGACACATTCCTACAGATACCCGTTGATATCCACCGGCCAACTCGGGGAAGAGTGAGCGCGCTCTGAGTACGTGATCTGTGGCAAGCCGAACACAAAAGAGTACGCTCTGAGTTCCAAAACGACCACAATTAAGGCATACTGAGTGCACTCTGAGTACAGCGAACGCCAAACCGAACTCAGCCATAGATTGCTGAAAGCGGGTCGTTTGCGAGTGGTCATATTGCCTGGCAAGTGCTCATTATTCAGAATCGATTTAGCAAAAATATGTTTACAAACCAATTTTCAGCCGTTCAATATAGTAAAAAAAATTACCTACATTTTTACTTCAAGGCATAAGCTTATGTTTATGTTGAAAAACATGGATGATCAATCTAAATAACTATCTATTTCGTTGATCCTGTCAAATCACCAGGCCTACAGGGTTGCCATATCATAATCTGTCCAAACCCACTGGTAGCAATTTTGATTGGAATGTTTAATACAACTGTCGGAAATGACGAGTGACATTATTGACTTACAAAATGGTCGTTTATCTCTTATGGCTTCGATTTAGTAAGGTAATAAGTATAAAATAGCATCACTTATATAAGGGTATAACAGCATGACTCCCATTTTATAATTTAACTCTTTATGGATTCTTACGGTACATTAGAAGATTTTATTTACATATTAAAAATTTATCTACATGTCAAAACTAATTAGTATATACAACACTACCGAGATAATATCCTTTCGTGCGGGTCCAGGGGACCGAGGAGGACATGTCAACCTATAATAATCATTTTTGATTTCTATTGGAAATATTTCAGCCCTCACTCTTTACCGTTTCGGTATTATTGAGGAATTTAGGTTCTTTTTGGAATCGGTAGGGATTTGTCGCGTTTTAGTTATGGTCATAAAAAATAGTTAAAAGGTATGTAGTTGGTAACTAAACGATTGTATATTTGATGCATGTTATCTACTTACTTTAGGAATATATTTATGAAAGTAAAAAAGCGATATAATCTAGGTAAACAAAACGAACAAAACGCACTCAAAAAATCTACCGTCACTATAATTGTCACTGGAACCATAATTACATCATCACTGAACTAGCGTATAGTGATTTGAAACCTTGGTATGTCAGCTTTTGTGGCGAACAGTGCCAACAGTTTATTTTTAACGCCGTTCAATAAACAAACCTAATTAAATGAATGCACAATTATAATTAATATATAACTATTCATTTTAGACTGAGAATGCTCGCTTTGGGAGGTACAGCTGTAGGAACAGGATTGAACACTAGGAAAGGTTTCGCCGAAAAGTCTGCCGCCAAAATCGCAGAATTAACCGGTTTACCGTTTATTACTGCCCCAAATAAATTCGAAGCTTTAGCGTGTCACGATGCCATAGTAGAAGTTTCTGGAGCCCTAAACACTGTAGCCTGTTCGCTGATGAAAATCGCCAATGACATCAGGTATGTAACTTTAACCAAGGTTCTTAACAGGTTTATATGAAGTTTGTTTGAACAGTGTTAGTTGATCTGGAATATCCTGTTCTTATTGTCTTCCATTAAATATTTAAAGAAATAATTGGTTTAAAGTCTGACGAACTTAAGGTGATTGCAGATGAACTGATTTGCTGTTTTATTTCTTTGTTGGTTATGATACAAAAACCATGTTCGTTTTCAGATTCTTGGCTTCAGGTCCACGCTGCGGTCTCGGCGAACTTTCTCTCCCCGAAAACGAACCTGGAAGCTCAATCATGCCCGGCAAAGTTAACCCTACTCAATGCGAAGCCATCACCATGGTTGCCGCCCAAGTAATGGGCAACCACGTCGCCTGCACAATCGGCGGATCTAATGGGCACTTCGAACTCAACGTTTTCAAACCTATGATGGTCGCTAACGTACTTAGATCGATCAGACTGATTGGCGATAGCTGCAAATGTTTCACCACCAACTGCGTCGTTGGAATCGTTGCTAACAAGGAAAACATCAATAAGTTATTGCACGAAAGTCTTATGTTGGTAACCGCATTGAACCCACACATCGGTTACGATAAGGCAGCTTTGATCGCCAAGACGGCCCACAAAGACAAATCGACGTTGAAAAAGACGGCTGTGAAACTGAACATTCTCACTGAACAACAGTTCGACGAGTGGGTCAAACCCGAAAATATGTTGGGTCCTAAGTAAATAATAAACACATCTGTATATTTTAAGTTTTGTTTCGCTATAAGTATTTCAGTATTTATTTTTATTTACAAATAAATGTTTTTCTTTTTCGATTATGTGTTTTAAGTATTAAACGATTTCTGGTCTCGTGGGTGGGTATGTTTGTAGGGGCAAGCTGGCGTTTTTGATCCTCATTCCTTGTCTTTTGTAACCAAACGCTGCTAGAATAACGTGAATGGCGGCGTCGACGGTTTTTTTGACCTCTTGTTCGGTACCCAAACTCGGGTTGACTTCTACGAGGTCCATGGCTCCTAGCCTTCCTGTATCGTGTATCTTTTCCATAATATGGACACCTTCTCTCAATGTTAGACCGCCTCGAACTAAAAATAAAAAGTTGAAGTAAAACTACATGTAAGAATGAATAAACCTAAAGTGGTTTAGTGTTTTTATTTATAAATACAGCGTGGTTTTAAAATCAGAAAGAAATCATTTCTATGGAAATCTATTCTATGCATTTTCTCCCTACCTATAGTCTAGAGAAGAAAGGAGTGCAGTAATTTAATTTGCAGAAAGTAGTACAGGTTCAAGAGCTAGACATTTTATTTATACCTCACCCTTTAATGCTTATTTGTAGTTAAAATAAAAATTTTAATACACATGATCGTCCTAATAAAAGTGTTCGTTTAGATTTAATGTTTCCATGGTTTTTACTGTATTAAAAATGAAGGTAAAATAGGGACCGTGCGTGAAATATAGAGGCAGCACAACTGCCGAAGTTAGCACTCTAGTGTTTAATTCTAGAATTAAATGGTGTAAACATTGCAAGAAAATAATAAAGGATATTTTTTTAAATATTAAATATAGATACCGGCCAGTAACAAACAATCGCGTACATGGTCAAAATGATATAAACTGAAAAATTATTAAAATCTTGACATATGTATATACATTTTAAGCCAAAAGATTTAAATAGCTGTGACAATAAATTGTAAATTTGTACCTCAAGCAAGTGTATCCAATGTCAAAATATCGGTATTTAGTATCACTGAATCTAAAATTATTACAATAACATTTAAAAAATGTAAATTAATAAAAAAGATTGAGAATAGTAATAATAATAATTCTTTTTAGCTTTATGTTAGTCTAAATGTCATCCATCCACCTTAGACGTTTATGAGACACCCAATGATATACATAATTATAGATTATGGATTGCTCACCCATCTATAAAAAAGATTACGAAAATCGGGTTGCAATGTGCACTGCTATATAGCCTTTCCTATTACCCACTAAATACAGCCGTTCTAGCCCAAATGTGTTTTAAAATAAAATTTCAGCATTTTAATCTTTACAAAAAGAAAATAATTAAAGTTTTAATTTAAGACACGTAATATTTTTAAAAATTGAGCGAATAAGGCAGTCAAATTCTCGCGAATATACATATGATGATAGTTTTAAGAGCGTATTGAGAGGATTTGTGCACTTTTTTTAACATTCCGCGAACTTTGAATGCAATTCATAATATTCGAGCGAATGAGAATTCACCATTGTTCTCTTTAAGAACCCTATATAGATTGATAAAAGATATTGATTTTGAATATGTGAAGCGTGGTCGTAAAAGTATAACGTTAGAACGAAATGACATCATTCATTGGCGGCACAGGTATTTAAGAGCCATCAAACAATATCGCCAACAAAATTGTAACGTTGTTTATTTAGATGAGACTTGTGTCAACGTGGGTCAAACGTTTAACTATGCATGTTGTGATAACACCATAAAAACCGTAGAGATGCTTTTATAAAGAGTTTAACCACAGGCCTCAATGCACCTACACAAAGAGGTCCATGTTTCGTTATTGTTCATGCAGGATATGAAGGTGGAGTTTTACCTGGCGCGGCGCGTTTTCTTGGGAAAGAAAAACGATGGCGATTATCATGACGAAATGAACGCCAACTATTTTGAGCATTGGTTTGAGGAGTCTTAAAACATAAATTGGTGTTATAGATACGACTTATAGCTGTTTTTAAGAAATACTGAGTATCTCTTATAAGAAAAATTTATAACATAATAAATATGCTATAAGAATATTTATATAACAATATTATAGTGTTATTTTGTTTTCAACAGTTAAATTGCTAATTTGCTATATTTATGAGTCAATATTTAATTTCTGAAACAACTGTAAAACCTTTATAAGAATTGAATGTTCTATAATTCAAAGGTTATAAGAGAAGTGTGCTGGTTGGGTTATCACCGTATCATTGAGAGTTTAACCCGATCGAGAGGGTTTGGAATCAGGTAAAGAGCTATATTCAGGAGACCTCTTCTCTAAAAAATTGTAGACCTAATAATACTATGTGGAAACCATTTATGGAATTTTAAAGTTGCAGAATTAGTAGGCAGTCACACATTACCTGAAGTCATGGTGCTGGGCGCTTCTAAACTATCAAGAGCATCAATGTCAAAACTGACATGTATTGACCGGCTTCTATCAGGATCAATCGCTTTGAGTGCCATATCTACGACTAAATTAATTCCATATTCCTCAACATCGGCCATACCGAAAGCTGTGATACCAAGTTTATCGATAACCATTCGTTCGTATGGATCCACTGACCTTAGTCCGATATAAGCCACGTTTCTTAATGATATTATTGGTTTTTGCCAATCCATGCCTACATATAAAATATATGAAAAAAGCATAAGTTATTTAATTTGGAATTATATTACCTGGCAAATAGGGCCAATAGTCTGACAGTTCTGATGCTAAAATAGCCATAGGCATTCCATGTATGTTACCGGTATCAGAAGTTTTATTTGTGTTTAAATCTGCATGTGCATCTATCCAAAGAACGCAAATATCTTTTTTTGCTTTTACGTGTGCATCTACAGTTCCTATAGCTGTAATAAAATACTATAATTAGGTTTTATAAATATTTAATTAAAACGTAATTTTTGATCTTACCTATGGAATGGTCACCTCCTAGTGTCAAACATATTTGTCCATTTTGCAAAACATTTTCAGCCTTTTCAGATATTTCTTGGTTACATGAAACAATGTGATGATAATCATTCATGTTTGGAACAGACGCATCTACCTTAATTACATCATAATCTATGTTTCCATAATCAATAACTTGTGAATTGCCCCCTGAAATAATACGAACGTGGAATTTTTATTCTAATTTTTTATACTAATTAACAAAGGTTGTATACATAATTATTATTTTGCCAAATTGTTATTAGATTTTGTTATATCTAATTTTAACGTAAAAATTCAGCTAGATAGAACTCGCATACTAAAAGAAGATATACACCATACACCAACATGTAATATAGATTAGTTTTTTTTTTTTATTAAAATTATTGTATCTCGACTGTAAAAGTTATTGACCAATAACAAATTACAGTACGAAAAATCTAATTCATATCACTAAGTATATTTTTTTAGATTTTTATCTTAACATCTTAGGTATATTCTCTGTATTTCGGTTTTCCTAGATTTAATTTTATCTGACTTGTTGCATTCTGTAACAATAAAATGAATACATTTTGATTTGATTTGGAGTATCGAGTTTAAATTAAATATTAATATATCACGAAATTTTTAATAGGAGGTGCGGCTTTTCTAAATTTAATTTTAGGCGTGCTAACTTCATAAAAATGTATAATTTTTTGTAAGCCATTTAGTATATTTCACCGAAATGAAGCTTGTTAATTATACAGGACTACAATGATATTTTCAATACATATGGCACCCCTAGAAGAACGATGACATTTCAAAATTAACGGATTGATCGACTTACCCGTAAGGATGATCGATCCGAATTATTCGAGATGTTGTCCGGAACGATTATTACACCCTGTAGTATGCATGACTCATATTGATCAGCACAAAAAACTACCCAAATAAAACAATTTCTATATAATCACCTGCGGTATGTGAGTGATTCATTGAATTATTTGATTTATTAGATTGCGATGGGATAGGGATAAGGGTGGAACGTAATAATAATTACGGACAACAGCTCGAATAATTTGGATCGATCATCCTTACAGGTAAGTCGATCAATCCGTTAATTATTCTTCGCTGTTGTCCTACATGATTATTACTCCCTGTAGGATATACCAAGAGAAAAAGTACGCAATCTAATAATTTTAATTTTTCACTTTAATACGACAGATACCCATTATAACTGAACAATGTAATTTCTCGAAAATAACAAAAAAGGAAAAACTGCAATAAAAATAAATAACTAATTAATAGTAACAGTTTATAACTAGATAGACTTTTTAGAGACCAATGTAGTCGCAAATTAATTTTTGGTTGTTTGACAGCTTGTAAAATTTTATGAAAACATTCCAGCTCACAGTGGCTCGAATACCGTCTATATTTACACAGAAGAGGCCCCTGGTGTATGCCTATTCCACGTTAAAAATAGTTTATCTTTTGTTTGTGGTCTGACTTTATTGGTTGTTTCCAAGTAGTATTTTAAAGTTTTTACTACACAGACTAGATTGTTCTTTAAATTCTGGAAATTTCAGTAGATGTATTAATTTTTATCATATACGTATTTCTATGTCTCCATCTCCCTTTTCATCAATGTTTCCTAACAAAATCTTTGATATAGTCTGCATTCTATGGGCAGAAATTAATGCCATTAAAGTAACTAGTTTGTAACTTAAAATTTCTAGTGTCAGATTTTCTAAAGGATATAAAGATTTTAAATATCATAATCAGGGTCCCAAGTGGTTCGATATTTTGGCTGGTGAGGATTAAGATTATATAATAAATCTCTTTCTAAGTGCACCATCTTCTTTATTTAAAATTATTGATAGTGATGATCTATGTGTATTTATTGAAGAAAATTATAGTTTAGATTTTTGTATTATAACTCTTATTAATTTGTATTCAAACGGATTATAGTTTATTTTTTAAACAAAACGACTCCCATCTTTTTTAAACATTATTTTAATGAACTCAGTTAAAGAGGCCAATAGAAGAACTTCTTCGGGAAGTTCTCTATTTAAAAACGAATTCCGAATAATATCCCGAACATCGATGTGGTCTGGCAGTAGACTGGAAAGAACACCACTATTCCCGCAGACTTTAATTTTTTTTTTACTACTAGAGAGAATGAAGGGAACGCGTAAAAATATTCCTGATCCCATTTTATATTATATGCATCTACATTTGATGATTCTGAATAAGGATATCTACACTGATAAAACTGAAAGTTTGTTAATTTTCCAATATTTATTGATATTAAATTAATATTAGTCAAATTAACAGAAATTTATTTGTTTAAAATACCTTAAGTTACTTGTTTTTCTTGTAAATTTATTTAAAATTGTACATCTTTCTGTTAAATATCGCAGTTTTTAAAGACTGCGACTACTTTAAAGTATGTACCTAAATAATTTAGCAGCAAATAATCAAAGTATTAATACCACATTATAATTTATAATATAAATAACATATTAGTGACATATTAAACAAATTTAAACATGAAGTTAAATACACATTACTGTTTTTATAGTCAATTAGTAGGTACAGGTACTAAATAATTATTTATTATATGTAGGTACACTCTGAAAAGGGTTTTCTTGAATCAAAACAAATGGATTTGTTTGAAATATGTTTGTAATGTTAAACAAATTTTGTTTAATCCAAGACCACCATTCATATGTGAAGTAATTTGAGTTGTTTGAATATACATTTCAATTTGTTTCAAATTCAAGTTGACAATTATTTATTTCAGGCAATAAATATATTAAATTTAAATACATTTATCTCCATAAAGCAAATGTTGTGATTGGCAGAAAAAGTTATTACTTTGAACCAATTTTTGTATTTGTTTGAATGAAGACTTGTAAATATTGTTGATAATAAATCGTGAACTTGATATAATAAAATGATAGATTGAATTCTAGATTATTTAGAAAACAAGCATCGCATTTATTTGTATCAAATTAATATTTATTGGCAAAAAGACTTTGATTCAGCCAATGGAAGCTTATTTAGATTTCGTTATAGACTCTCGCTGAGTGGTCTCTTGTTAGAACTAGTCTGATTTGGTATTTGGTACTTGAATGCGTACGGTCACAGAAGCAAATTTTCATAGGGTCTTTGTATTAGAGAGGTACCTAAAAATTTAAGTTACTATCTGTACGACTACTTATTAATTAACGCAAAGTTTCGCCATTTTTATTGTCGGCTATTAGGTATTAACGCCACTTTGCTGCAGCTATTGAATATTTCAACTCAATGTCCCGTTTGCTTTTCTATAGCAGTACCTTGCAGTCCAGATGTAAAACATTAATGTATAAACTTGTTCGAGTCTAATGCGCATGATCGAATTACGTAATACATCACATGTAAGCATTCTAATATTTTACAGTGCGTTTACCAAGTTATAATTTGTATATATCTATACCTATATAATACGACCAATTTTTAAAAATAGGTATATTATCTAACAATAAATTTCATAAAAGGAAAGTGGCAGTTTCCCAAAAAAGTTTGTAGTTCTGTCATTTTTTTAAATTGTCTAGAGAGAAACATTTCTACATCCTTGTTCATAATCAGTGCATTCAGAGACTTGCAATTATTGGCTGTAAGATATTTTTTATTTAGTGATTCAAGTACCTGATTGTCTACCTTTTGTATGAATTCCATTTTATGGAGATATCCTCGCGTGTTTCGTTTCCCAAAGAGTTTATAGATTTTGGGTGAATTCCGAGAAATTTGGAAAAAAGATTTTTTAAATCCATATACACGATTTTCGTTTACATGGACGTATGTAACGTAAAATAATTTTTGTTAACCTTTGTAGGTATATACTATACGAACTAAGACGACATAAGTATATTACTTAGATAGGAATTTACTTAGGAAGAGACATAAGTCAATATTTCCTAATGTACTTAATTTGTCTAACGGTTTTAAACTTTTTTTACACTAAACGGCAACTACTATTCTATTAATCTTGATGAATTATGCACTGTTGTATGTAACATAAATGAATATGAAACTCTTAACCACTTGCTTTTTGATTGCCCAATATAATACAGTTTCTGCCCTGGACAACAACTGAAAATACCAAATAATAGCCAGTTATATATGGAATATATTAAAATTTAAGGCATTTTTTTTAAATGAATAGTCTCACTGATTTACTTTTTATATTCGTACTTTGTGAAAATACCATTTCCGTTACGAATGATTTTTGTTGTTATTCCTTTTAATTTGATTTTTGTATACTAAATTAAATTATTGTTATCCATCTGTATGCAGAACGTTCTAGAAAGTTTGTAATAAGTGAGAAGATTTTCGCATTGTTACTTGGGAAATGATTTAGTTATACTTATATATTATATAGGTTATAATCTATAAATTTATATTCTTTGTAAAACCCAAACCCTTGATGTAAACGTAAATGTTTTGGAAGCAATAAAGTATTATAAGTCAATGACTTACATAGGAACTAGCTTAGGAAGAGACATAAGTCAATCTTTCCTGATGGACTTAATTTTTTCTGAAGAGATATAAATCAATCATAACTAATGTATTTTATTATTATTTTTTTTTTTTTGGAAGAGACATAAGTCACTCATTCCTAACTAACTTACTTTTTTCGGAAGAGATAAGTTAATCATTCCTAATGTACTTAATTTTTTCGGAAGAGACATAAGTCAATCATTCCTAAAATGTACATAAATTTTTCGGAAGAAACAGAAGTCAATCTTAATTATTGGCGTTAAGTACCCCACCTTTATAAGGAATAAAAAAGTAAAACAACTTGGCAACATACCTTCTTTATCGCTTTCCAATTCACTTTCAAAATTCTTGTCCACTTACGCCTTTCAACACTTTTGGCATCCTTAAACGCTAAAAATTTCGTTAAATGCCGCTAAATACAATGAATCACTCACATACCGCAGGTGGTTATATAGAAATTGTTTTATCTTGGTTGTTTTTTGTACTGATCAGTATGAGACATGCATACTACAGCGTGTAATAATCATTACGGACAACAGCGAAGAATAATTTATGATTTTCAATTTAAATACATAAAATATTATGAAATTACAAAAATTTCTCGGGAAACAATGACACAACTTTTACTTCTATTATTTGCCCAGAGATGA